GCGACCCCCGCGCAGGGATCCCAGTGCAAGGCCCCCGATGGGAAGTTGGTTTTTTCCCTTCAGGTTTTGTCCTTCCCACCATTTTCCAACGCCTTCTCTCTGTTCCTCTCACTGTTGTCACTGGGTTGAAAAAACTGTGCTAACCACTGACAGATTTAGGGAAACTAAACAAGGTATTATCTGAATGCGCCAGCAGCGCCAGAAACTGAAATGGCTGTTTTTACACGTTAGATAAATTTCGAGCATGTGAATATTATTTAAATTAGGAATTTTTTTTTCCTTATTGCTATCTAAACATAGACTAGAGGAACATTGACTAGAGGAAATGGCCGGAAACTGAAACATCAAAAATTCCATAGGAACTTAAGGAAAAATTTCTTAACAGTGCGGGTGACAGAGCACTGGAACAGGCTGCCCAGAGAGGTTGTGGAGTCTCCTTCTCTGGAGATCTTCAAAACCCGCTTGGATGCACTAACCGTCAGAGCTATCATAACCATGAATTTTTGCATGTTCTTTGTTTTCAGAATGAAAACATGGCTTCAAAAGCTTAAACGCTGATATCTTAACCACCACCTCTGGTCGCTTAGGGCTTTGTGTGCCCCATCAGGCTGGGAAAGGGTGCAGCAGTCCTTGCTCTTCATCCACATGCGGCTTACTGAAATACAGCTAAGAAAATCAAGCCCAAGTCACAGGTTAGTGGAGCTGCTTTGGAGGCAGCCGAGAAGGGCTTCTTTGTACTGAGCCAGACCCTCCTCCATGACTCCAACATCCATGTCTGAGGCTCAGGTAGCTTCTGCAATTCCCATTTTCAGATGGAATTCCCACCTAAGTAGGACTTTATCCCCAGAAGGCAGTCACAGAGAGTGATACAATGGCAGGATATAGAAACAGGCACCTTACCAAACTCCTCGTGCTTGTATCAAACTGAACTAACCAAACTACAGTACCTATACACGGGGCACATTGGAATGCACAGAGATTTCTGAGAATGTTTATCATCTAAAATATAGAGTCATGCGCCATCAGACTTGTGCTGGAGGCGCAGTCTGTGTTGCAGAGACAGAAGCAGAACTTCCCCTGGGTTTGGGATTCCTAAGTGTAAAATAAATTAAGCAAAGACAGATGTCTGGATAATTGCTCTATTTCCACTTGAGAAAAGGAGAAAGCATCTTGTGTAGAAAAGAGAAGAAAATAGTAAATGAAAAAAAGAGGCAATGGGAAATAGGAAACAAAGTATTTCCAACTTGTAAGGCCAAAAAAAGGGGGGGAGGGGCACTCTAATGTTTCTCTTACAGTTCTTACAATCACCTTCGTACTGCCTACGAGGCAGCCTTATATAGCCGGTACGCGGCAGCACTTCCCTATTACCGGTCCTGGGCCTCCCGGGCGGGACCACAGACCGGTCCGAACCGGCGCGGACCGGTTCCCGCAGCCCCGCCCCACGCAGCGGCCGCCGTCCGTGTGTCGTGGAGCGAGGGGGCGGCCCCGGGAGCCCGTCCGAGGGCAGGTGCCGGTGCAGGGAGCGGCCCGAGGGGCTGCAGGGACCTCCCTGCCCCGCTGGGAGCTTCCCTGCTCCGTTTGGCTGCAAGGGGAGCCAGGAAAACTGGGCTCTAGGAAGGCCTTTGGTGCTCGGTTATGTTGTAAGAGACAAATGTGGGAAAGCAACAGCCTGTTGCCGAGTCCAGGTTGTGCACTGTAGCTTGGGACACAATAATCTCATCCCAAGCTAATTATTTAAGGCAGTGCTGTCTGAAATGGTGCTCTTGGTGTTACTTGGTTGCAGTTGGGGTGGCAGGTTCCTGGTTGACTCGGTTATGGTATCAATATGTTGAAAGACTTTTAAAGTTCATTTCTCTAACATTATGTAGTAAAAGTCTTTTCATAACTAGAATGCTTAACGTTAAGGTATTAACTTTCGGAAATCTGAAACTTTTTGCCAAAGGTTGCTGTGGCAAAGCCCGGGGTAGTATTTTCCCTTCAGATAATGTTTTTTTCAAAGCAGATGTTGGCTGACTTCTTAGGGTTTCTGTGTACAATACATCAGGTCCTTCTTTTGTGGTTTACTCCCAGTATTGAAGAACAAATAAGTATAACTTAAGTTTTAATGTAGATATGGCTTTTAAAAATAGTATAGCAAGATCTGCCTTGATTTCAACAGACTCAGCAGTTTTATTTGGCGACAGCTATTCCTGTTTGTGAGTGAATTCCTGCAGGACAGAACTTTTATTTATTTTTAATTTGGAGGATCCATTGTTGATACTTTTAGCACATAAAGTATTTTACTGTTTACTGGGCAAATTATAGTGAATAATTATCCTTCCAAAATTGGTGTTTAACTTAAAAACTGGAAGATACTGAAATACTTAATCAGCACATACATGTGTACGAGCTAACTTTTAAATCGCTGTTTCTGTAGTTACCAGGCATAGTACCGTTATGAACACCCTTTGTCATAGTTCAGCGTGAAAGTTTTTATGATGGCCCAACCACTTCGCATGAAGAACAAAGGTAATAAAACTTAAGAGGAGGTTACAGCTCTGAACTTCTTGTCAAAAAGCTGTAGCTGAATATATGCTTGGTTATTGATAAGGAGCATCGGCATGGTTATGGCTTGTAAATAAAGCTAATTCATTATTATCTAAGCTTGTGGGGACTGAAAAAATGGGGAATTCAGTGTGTATACATGCACGCCAATGTTTCTTTCCTTCAGCACCATCTCAGTGCTGATTTATACTCTGCATTACTTTTGATGAAAATAACTTAGTTCTTTTCATTATATCTTGGTATGTAGCTATCTTTAGACTGGAGGATTCATTGAGCTTAATTGTGTTTTGGGCCTGCCTCAAGGTCTAAAAAAGCTATGCAAACTGTATGGCTGTGCTGACTGAAAGGAGAATTTGCACTTAAAAAGCTGTTAGAGCAGACTCGGAGGGGCCTGTGTAGTCTGTCTGCAGCAAATTGCTTGTGGGAAAATGAACTGCCTATTTATGGAAATGGTAGTTCCTCATGTGTCAGTAAGCAGATTTACCTGAAAGTTTGTGGTAAAAATCTGGTGTTTTGTGAACAAAAATCTTTGTCTAAAGAATAAGTTCACTCGAAAGACCACAATTTTTGTGTTTGAATGTTTGTTGATGTGACAAAGTTGCATGTAAATATAGCTAAACATATGGTCTACATTTAGCTTATATTAAAAGAAAATAGAAAAGGCGGCATTGTACTATAGCTATTGTACAACTGTCTATTCTGAGTTTTCTCTCTTCGTCTGTAGGAAGTTGTGTGTGTATATAACTTCTTAATTTACACTGTGCAAGTATAATTGGCACAAGTTTATGGATAGAGACATTAGTCTCTCTTATTGAGGGATAGGCACAGAGCAGTGAAACTGTAGTTCTAGTATTCTCACTGGTGGTAAGATTTGAGTCTGTGTAATGTCAGAGTAATAAGGAGAAGTGAATGTGATAACAAAATAATAAGAGTAGATAGATGTTTCATATTTTAACTACAGTTTTCCATAGCACAGGCATGCACTAGTGTTGTTAAATCACTTTTCAAATGCTTCTGTTCTTAGGAAATTCAGTGGAAGGTGTAACTCATAGCAGGAAATCATGGTTGACAGCTGCAATTGATGAAGGAAATGCTGTAAGTTAGTGTGCTTTATAATTGTATCTAATAATCTGAGCGTTACTAGATAGCAGAAATGATAAGAATATATTGATTTTGCTGGAACTTGGAAGTTTTAAGTCAATTTTTGTTGCCGTACTCTAATACTTCAGTATATTTCTGTCCCAGAGCGTTGTATTTTCCAGTAAGGATCACCTGGGATGTTTCTCTTACAGGGCTCCCATCCTGATGCGATTCAGGAGAAGCCGAAAAGGTTACAGTATTCCTCTGAGAATGTTTTCTCTATCGGCTATGATGAGAGTCTCTTCAGTTCTTTAGCATCACCCTCACCAAAGATGACTTGCCATCACTGTGGTTTATTTGGTATGTTTCCTTCATCCTATAGTCTGGGATACACAGTATGTTTACTAATTGCTGAGAAACATGTCTTGTAGGCTCTTGCCATAAACCAGAGGTGTTTTATCATCTCATAGCTGGAGTTACAGAATCAATAAATAGAGGCTAATTTCATTCTTTATTGAATATTTTTCAAATTTAAATATAGACAGACTTTGGTCAGCTGGCTCAACAGTGTCTGATAGATAGCTGCAGATGAATTAAAATACCAATTTCTATATGCTTAGAACTGTAATGATACCTTCTTGTAATCATTAAATAACATCTGTCTCTTAAGTCTGTAACTTAAGAGCTGTTGTCTCTTTTACCATAAATGTTTCTTTCTGACTTTGTACTTTTAGGATCCCTGAGGTGTTCACAATGTAAGCAGATATGCTATTGCTCTGCAGACTGCCAGAAGAAAGATTGGCCAATGCATGGGGTGGTATGCAAGCCGATTAAACAGGAGTAAGTTTGTCAAAAGTTCAGCTAGATAATGTTTACAGAAAGACAATGTTCCTGCTAATATAACTTAAATTGCCATGCAAATACAATGTCACAGTAAAATGTTGATTATTCTTAGGTTAGTAAGGTCAGAAAGCTCAGCTCTCCTGTGTTAGAAGGATGACTGGAAAGATAATATTGAGTTTCTCAGAATGTTCTATAGTGGCTTCACAGTTGGCATACACCAAAATAAAGGATGCTTTGTTTCTGTATTCAGAATAACATGAATATGCAGTAACTTTGCTATTGGTCTTGAAGATGAAGGGAAGGGAGACAATGAGTCTAAACACAATTAATGTGCCGCCTTTAGCAGGCACAGAAAAGGCACCCTTTGAGTCCAAATGTGGCCTGTGTGAGCTTCATTGGCACCTTATCTTTGGTCAGCACAGCTTCAATTAGAAATTCTTAGCCAGGTAGTTGTCTCGCTCCTGACTATCACTCCATGACATGCCAACTGAGATACTTGGGAGTCATCCGAGCATCTAATCTGGCAGCCTATAGCAAAGGACAGTGATAGCAACCTGAAGTGTATGTTGCTCAGAACATTTGCAGCCGGGTGTCCATAATCAAAGCTTACAAGAGAATACAACTATTCTGCTGTGTTTTCTTAGAGGGGCTGCATATGGTTTTTTTCTTTTTTTTTGGCAAGCTCTTATGTGTTATTTCAGTTTTACTTATGTTCCCAACTGAAATAGCAAAATGATCTTTTTCATGCTTTTACAGCTTTGAAAGCTTGCCTAGGTTTACCCTGTTAGAACTCCACAAAAGTAGTATAAGGTTGCTTTTTCAATTTGATTAAACTTAAATTACTTTTTTTTATATTTTAAGAAGAAAAATATACAAAGTGTTGCGTGGCAGGGAGCTAACAAATCTGTCATTCCCCTTCTTCCTGCAAGAAAGAAGTATTGACATGAGCCTATACAGTGAACACAGCCGTTTTGTTTTAATTGCAAATAGATCGTACTGATGTTACATGCTTGCCTTTGGTTTTTCAAAATTAACGCATTTTTCTTTGATTACAGTTTAAGTAGCAGCAATGGAGACAAGCCACCTGCTAAAGCCAAGAGGAAAGTTTATCTTAAGGTATAGAATATCTTTTTAGTAAGTTCTGTGTCTTGGAGCTGGTGTGAGCTAGTTACAATACTAATTTAACCTGTATAGGAAAGGAACAAATTCCAGAGTTTTTTCTTTTACTCTTTTTAGAAAGACTTATTTCAAGTCAGAAGTTACTGGTAGAAGCATTGAAGAGTTACTGCTTAAAAAGCTCTTAGAAAAAATGCGGCAAAACTCGCCTTTTTGTTTGTTTGTTTGTTTTTTGTGAAAAACATGTTTGAAAAAGTTAAAAATGAGGTGGTGTATGATGGCTACTAGAGAAATATTTTATGAAGGATATAATTTTAGCTTGTGTGCTTCAGAAATAAGCTAGTGTCCTTGTTTTCTTGTTTGTTTGTTTTTGCTTTTTTCCCTGCCTCCATCACAGTCTGATGCTGGGACCTGTGTAAATTGTTAGGAGAAATACATTTAATGCAATATTGCATATTAACAAATATAAGTAAAATCGTACTTCCTTAATGTAGCAGAAATAAAGCCTGATGAAGTTTTATTTTCTATCAGTTCTAGCCTCCTTCAATCTTAGCCAACCAATTCTTCCTGTAATTTTCCTATGAGCTGTTGCATGGGAATCATTTTGCTATCATTTAGGATTTCTTGGAATCATCCTTACTGAAGGAAGTAAATAGTCATATCTCCAATTAGCAGCATGTTTGCACTGTATAGCAAAATTTCCCTGTTATTTACTACTTTTAGGTAGCTCATTCATTTATTTGATTTTTTTTGGAGGAATTTCGTAAGGAGGCTTTATCTTAGCTTACAATATTTCTTTTAGTTCATTCTGATAGCTTTCTGCTCTGTGTTCTTGTGTACATGCATTTTAGTAAAACAAATGTTATCCCCTTTTTCTTATGTACAGTCACCTGTGGTAATCTTGATATTATTCTTAATGTCAGGTGCGTTTTTATTATAGATTTTACATTTGCTAGTAAACCGTCACTGCATTTTTTTTTTTTTTTAAAGTATGTTGATCCAAATGATCATTAGAGAAAGAGACTTTCTTTAATGATGTGTAGGAGAGTATTTTTCTAATGTTTTTAGGGTGTAATAGATGTGTACGTGTTAGGTATGTTAGACCAGATGTTAAAACTTACATTTTAAAAAAAGCCCCCCTGTTAGTTATCCTAGTAACTATGCTGTTAAAACTACAAGACAGCAGATGTATTCAGTTCAGCTCCAGTTACTTATGAGAACATCGTAAGCAGGAAATATTTGGAAGTTGTCAGTGCTGTTCGAGCAGGTAAGAAAAGAACAGATAAATCATGCCTCTCTGCTGCTACTGTGCAAGTATGTCAGCACTTCTGACTTTTTTTTTTCACTGCATGCTCACTGTATCATATTTTCTTTAAGAGTTATATTTTCAAATGTAATAAGGAATCTTTGAGACTTTATCTTACTGAAAGTCAACAAAAGCACTTTCATAAATGTTGCTTGAGATTAAGAGTTATTCTTTCTTCCCTTGTTATTACAAGAGCATTTATGTGGACAATTTAATTTAAGTATAACTTTAGCTGTTTCAAACAGGGTAATTCAGCATCTATGGATTCCCTCAAGATAGAAGAGCACATCAAGAAAATAATGCTTTCAGATCTTCAAACTCTAGGGCTGAAAAAAGCTATGGAAATAAAGGTACTTTTGGGAGAATATTAAGATGCTTTGTTAGATTTTTTTTTTTTTTTCTCTTTTAAAGAAGATGAGTAAATGCAATGGGGAAATATGGGAGAAAGATTCACTTTCACAAAACATATCACCAGTATTTGTTCCCTATGATTTCTACTTCTAGGTAAGAAATGGAATTAATTATAGAGTGTAATGCATACATTATAATGTACACTGGTATTAAATGATATACTGTATGTTGCTATTGAGTAATTCTCATGAACTGTGACTTTTCTTTTTAGGGTATAGTAACAGAGTTCAGGAATCCAAGTGAATTTTATGTCCAGATAAGTTCTCCAGAATTTTTAGAACATATCAGTAAAATTTCTGTGGAACTGCAAGACCGTTATGCTAATACGGTTATTCAAGAGGAATATATCCCTATCAAAGGGGAAGTCTGCGTAGCAAAATATTCTTTGGATCAGGTAACAACTTACTGTCCCTAAAATGACAGTTCTGTGTTGAGCCCATTGAACTGGGTGTATTGCTTTTGTGCCTCCAGTGACATTAGAGATGTGCATAGGATAACATTTGGAGAACATTAAATAAAAAAGTTGGTAATACATGGAATGCTGCTCTGAAACACCAAAGGTTTTTCTTCAAAAGCTTTTACTTCTGTATGCTTTCAAGTACTTGGAGCTTAGAGGGGTGGTGTGTCTTACTGCCGTTTTAAAGGCTCCATGTTTTAATAAGTGTGTCCTACTACAGTTGAAAGGGTTTGGAATATCATTCTGTTTATTTTAAGGAAGTTATTCTGACTTCACTTTTCATCTGATTGCATTTCCCACAACATCTGTAGTAAAACTGTTCTGTCTACGTATTTTGTGTTCTTTCCCCTACCTTCTCCTCTATTGTGGGCCATTTTTTATTGCCAGACAGTGTCAGTAGAAATGCTGTTCTGTCCTCACAACAGCTGCCACTACACTGATCTGTGTTCATTTGAGCTACTTCAGTATTGTTCAGTTACTTTTTAATTAAAAGAAAATACCGATGATGATACTGAAGTATGAATTTTGAGGAATGCAGTAAATGTGTTGCTTTGTTACATTGTGCTCTTACTGAAGAAGGTATCGTCTCTTTCTCTATAGACCTGGAATAGAGCATTGGTAAAAGATGTGGATATATTGCAGAAGAAAGCCCAAATATTCTATATTGATTATGGAAATGAAGAAAATATTTCATTCTCCAGGATTAAAGCACTTCACAAAAACATTGAACGGTTTCCTCCATGTGTGAGTCTCTTTTTCCTAACAGTAGTTGTGATATTTTAAATGAATAGCTCTCAGAATGAGTGTATCTTGTATCTCAGTGTAGCTGTCATTATCACAGTGTCTTCTGTGCCCAGTGAAAGCAGGGCATGAGCTCTGCTATCCTGTAATAATTGTGATACAGCCATGGTTATGTAAGATAGCATATATAGTGGGAGAAGCAAAGGGGAAATGTAGCTTAAAAGGTGAACTTCATTTCCTTATTCTTAACTGTGCTTTGTAAACAAACTGCTTGAGTCAGTAGTGCTTCAAGTTCCATCAACAGCTTTTATATGCCAGATATTTTTAAGGGCCTTATTATTTCCCCCATAAAGAAGGGTGATTAAATACTAAAAATAAAAAAGCAGTAATTAACAGTAATTCTTTCCAGGCCATTAAGTGTTCCCTTGCTAATTTTGATCCAACACAAGAAGGATGGAGTGAAGGCATCACCAGCTTTTCCCCTCAGTTCATGGGAAAGCACTGTTCAGTCACTGTTGTTGACATATTACAGGAAGAAATGATGCTCAGTTTTGCTGTAGATGTTATTCTTCCAGATTCTGGTAAGTCGGACTTGGTAATGTGGTCTCTCTTTCTCTCCCTCCCCTCTGCATATATATCCTCCTCCTAGTTTTTTTGTCCTAAATCTTACCTTTATTAGAGGTCATTTTAAAAAAAAAAAAAAAAAAAAAACTGTGCCTGATCTATCTTCTCTTCTGCTTAATAACCTTAAAAAGATCTTCTAAACTCTTCTTTTTGAGAGCCTTAAAACTGGTTCACTTTTTCTGAATATTCTTGTTTGTGTGTGCTTTAATGTGATGCACATGGATATGGGAACACATTTTTCTCTCTCCTGTGTTTTCGACTCTTAAATATGATAGTATCATATTAAGTTTCTAGTTCCACTCTTTTACGTGTTTTGCTAGCTTTTATTGTACTTCACACACACCTATACAGACAAGACAAGAATTCCAAACAGTTTTTGCCACTGATACTGTTATCTGTATCTAACTTGAGAACTCTAATTCAAAATTATAACTAACTAGCAGAGCCAAGCAGAATAACAGAGCTTTACTGGGGAGCTGGGATTTAGCTCTTCAGCCAAACTCCAGGAGTTGTGGTTGTGGAAACAGCTCAGTGCACAGAAGGTGCCTGTTCTCCTTGGTGGGAGGACTCTCTTGTTTTGTTTGTCTGGATGCAGAGCATAAATGATGGTGATTTGAGAACATTCTTCTCATAGATACAGTCACAGAAACTTTAAAGGAAGAAACATTTCATCTTCTTAATAGTATTCTAGACAACAGCAAGCTTGTGTCCATTCATTGTCCCTGTGGTGTACTTAAGCCCTGTGTAAATGGAACGGGCCCAGGGTTATACTAAGCAGATTATTTTTTTGTTCTGTTGCTTTACAGTGTACTGATGGCAAAGCAATATACCTACCAGCCTCTTGGAAAGAAGATCACAAAAAAATCTTGCGGTCTTTTGAAATCTTGCATGTATTTTGCACATGATCCTTTCAGTTTATTTTTCTAGTGTGATTTTCTTAGCAGGAAAGGACTGATGGAACAAGGGTGTGCCAAAACTTAGTTGCTTGGGAGAAGCAAGAAGGCAGTGGGAATAGACACTATCCTATTGGATCCTCTTTAAAAAAAAAAAAAAAAAAAGTACTTTGAGGTGGGAAGGATGTATCCAAGCCCCTTGGGGGAATCTCTTGAAGAGTAGTGCAACTTCAACAAACTGTGTGGCGTAACTACTTCAAACAATGAAGCAGTAGTTAGAAGCAACTTAAACATCTGTGCACACATTTTCAGTTTGAAAGAATTGTATTGAAAGCTTAAAATGCTGGTTACGTAACTGCTGTGGAAGTCAAGATTTCCTTGTAAATTTTGCTAATTAATAGTATACTCAGTGATGTTTAGCCATACATTCTGAATCTTTATACTTCAATTGTTGCGATCAGCTTTTGAGCCAACATTCTTTTACTGGTAGTGACTTCCTGAAACTTTGATAAAGTAAATGAAATGATGTTTTAACAACTAATATCTTCAGCAAGCTCAAGTACTTGAGTCTTTCCAAAACTACTATTGTTCTGCTTTCTAAGCATGCTGTGTTGCTCAAGAATGTGATCACTTTAGTATGTGATGGTGACTTAGGTTATATACTTAGTTTTGTTCTGGAACTATTTTTTTTGACTAAACTGAATTACAGTTACCTGCTGGTTAATTTGTAGTTAATTACTTTGTTTCTACATCTACCTTTTAGGGAAATGCCTAGATGAAGTGCTGTCAGAAGTGAGGTGTGATTTAACCCCAAAGAACAATGGCATGGGAACAGACTCTCCAAGAGGTGAGTAAGCAAGTTGCATTTAAGTAGGAGATAGACAAAGTCTGGGGAATTTTAGATCCTTCCACATTGAAAAATGCTATGAGTGTAGTAAAACTCCAGCTGTTCACCAGCTTAACCTCCTATTTAAACATATTGGCTAGAGGAGCTCTGGGAGTTCGTTGCTAACTCCAGCACATACGCTTTGTACTAGTATAAAATACTGTTTTAGTGATGGTTGTGTTATGGACAAAATAAAGATCCCTGAAATTCTGAAGGATTCAACAAAATAAACTTTCAGCAAATTTAGATTTTGTGTCTTAATTTAGCGTTTTTTGTTCATTTGATTTTAGGGGACTCTGCTGCCTGGCATTTCAGAGTTCTTGATTAGTAACCTCTTTTTTCCTTTGCATGTGTGTGTGTTAGCAAAATGTTCTAAAGGAGATAAAGAAAAATTACCTGAAGATAAAGAACTACTTCACACCACTGATTCTGTTGCAAAGTGTGTCCCTGTATGTGTTGGAGATGTGTTTTCTGGTGTGGTTTCCCACATTCAAACCCCAGAAAATTTTTTCTGCCAGCAGATGCACAGTGCACGTAAGTGGCTCAGTTGTTTGAAAATATGGACTGTTAACTCTTGAGTGTGCTTGTGTGTGTGTGTTTGGGTTTTTCTTGTTGTTGTTTTTCTCCAGTAGAGGGTAGCTAGAGGAAGATGTTGCTTGTCGCATAGTCTGAACTGTAATAGTGGTTCTCTAGCTTCAGGCCGTGCTTCAGTCTGTTAAGAGCCATGGAACTGGAGAATCTGAGACTGGTTATCCATGTGCATTTCCTTTACAATTGTGATTCCTCAGGCTTGTCCTGACTCTCTTCAGTGTTAGAGACTTGAAGGGTCCTAATCTGATCAGATTATGCACTGTTTCTGAGTTAGATTAAACATTATGTGCGGTAATAAAATTGTGTTTATTCCATCCTAGTAAAAGGCTTTCTTCCAGGCTTTGAGCTAAAAATTTGTGGTGTTAGTGATTTTGTAATAATTATGAAGCCTCCCAAATTACAAGGTTTCTAAATTCTCTGTATTTTGACATTAGATCTTCTTGCTGAGCTTCAAGTGTCTCTTGGAGGATATTGTGAAAAAGTTGCCAGTATCCCAGATTTCCATCCTGCTGTTGGAAATGTGTGCTGTGCCCAATTCTCAGGTAAAGAAATGGATACTCTTAAATCACCTTAATTTATTATCAGATTACAAATTTTAGAATTACTTATGTTGAGAAATGTTTCATTCAAAGTTTGTTGCACGTATCTTGTTTTAGCTGTGAGTAGTGCTACAAGTTGTTTTCTTGTGTGTGTTTTGTTTTTTTTTTGTTGTTGTTTGTTTGTTTGTTTTAGATGGTAAATGTTTCGGCGATAAAATATGTTTTTGTTGTGGTGGTTTTTGTTGTGGTAGGTTTTTTGTTTTTTGTTTAGACCATGGCTCTTAATTGAGAAAGTATCTAAGACTGGAATCACGTTTGTATCAAGTGACCTTTCAAAAGACCCTGAAGAAATTGGACTGATATCTGTTGTTGAGCACTATTTTTTGTGACTTTAAGTAAATAAAGACTGCTGGATTAAAAAAAAAAAAAAACGGGGGGGGGGAGGGGAGCAAAATTATATGTATATGACACAGTTACGCTGGTAGACTTCATCCTCTCAATGTCTGTGTAGCAAAGGACTTCAGTTCTGAATTTTGTTGGGAACATAGACTTTTAACATCAGCGATAACTAGAAATCTCATGATAGACACATCATTAAACTTGCCTAAACATAGGTTAGTATTCTATATAAAGCAGTGTTTAAATATATTGAACTTAAGTACTTCAGCCACATAATGTAGTTCTTCCATGCAATATGCATTTGAATGAGGGAAGGTTTATATGGAAAGAAGTAACCTTTTGCAACACTTAACTTGCACAAGGGATGTAGATGCCATCTTCTATGAGGGCTTCATGAAGCTTTGTTAAGTCTGTGGCTGTCTTATGTTAAAATTGATACTGTGTTTTATGCTGGAGTATGGCCTAGAAATAGTTCAGTTCAAGGATTTAAAAACAAGTACCATAAATATTTGTGTTCTCCTTTCTAGAAGACAATCTTTGGTACCGTGCTGCTGTTTTAGCGTATACTTCTGAAGATACTGTTCTGGTGGGCTATATAGATTATGGTAATTTTGAAGTTCTGCACCTGACTAAACTTCGTCCCATGATTCAGAGATTAATGGACTTTCCAGTTCAAGTTATAAGATGTACTTTGGCAGGTATGAAAGATATGATTAGCTGTTTCTGACTGAGTGGAGAGAGAATAAGAGGATTCATATAACTATTACATGCCTCTAGCATCCCCTGTTAAAATAAGGGAAAGGGTAGAGATGAGTGGACATTATTTCCCAAATTCTTAGTTGTCATTTCTTAGTTTGGAGGAAAAAATAAGGCAGTTCTGCCCTCACCTGTAGAGAGGAAATCAGTGTATGTGGAACATGACCAAAAGAAACCTCCCTTCTGGGGAAAATCATGCTGACTTCTAATACTTATTTTAGGCCTGCAAAAGGTCTGTATAGATGTAAAAAACAGATATTTCCTGATTGGAAAAGGAATTGCTCCTGCATAAAATATCATTCTGGAATGCAACGCACTTGTGTTGGCCAAAGACTAAAAAAATTCTGTTTATGATATTGCTAAATTTGTTTCCAAAATTAAACAGTAAAAATGTAAGGAGAAAGAAGCTTATAGTTATTGTAGCAGATGCATTTGTTTAGAAATTGTTAACATTGCTCTGAATGTATGTTGAAAGCTAAGCTGTATTCATGAGACACAATGGCCAACACTTCTGTGGGTGTTCATGGTAAAATTAAGCTGAATTTACATTTGTTCTCCCAACTAGTTGTATATTATTTCTTTTGTTGTTATTAAATTATTACTAAATCAAGGAGCAGAAATTCAGAATGTAACTTTTGTTCTGAATTTTTTTTATAAGCATGAGGAGTAGGGGAAATACCTTGATATACTGGCGGTTTGACTTGCAGTCTTGGTTTTGTTTCATCCTTCTGCATATTTCCAAGGCCTGACTGTTCTCAAACTCTTTTTGTACAATTTGATTGTTCAGGTGTAAAACCACTGATGGGAGCCTGGACCCTGGAAGCTATTTCTCTCATGAAACAACTGGTGCAAGACAAAGTACTCACAGTAAAAGTAGTTGATAAAAAGGGTAATAGCTCTGTGGTAGAGCTCCTAGATGCATCAATTACTCCAGTAAAGAATATATCAAACTACCTCATAGAAAAAGGCTGTGCAACTGAGGAATCAAAGATGAACTTGCCAGCAATTGAAATAAGTGATGTTAAGGAGGCAAGTGGTGAGTACAGCAAGCTGGCCCTGCAGTGCTGGCTTTATTTAACGTCCTACTAGAACAGGTACAAAGTTCTTACAGGTAGAAACCTTCTGGATTGGATCATCAAGTCAAGCCATTGCAAGCTTTCTATCAATAGAAAATAAGTCTGTATTAGAAAATATTTATATTTGGTTTGCAATAATTTTTAAAAGATTGTACTAGGATTTCTGCTTTCTCTGCTTAGAAGTCTCCTAAGTCTTTCAAGTCTCTGTGGATCCTGGGCATTTTAAATGCAGTTTCTAAACAGAAGTAATCTCTCTTTGTCTTAAGCCTTTTAAATTTTAGCGTTATCTGTTGGAATTTAAACACATACCTATATTTCTCTGTCAGCTTGCAAAATTTTTCATTAACTTTTGTTTAACTCCAACCATTGAAATTTGTGATCACTAGATCCAGCGTTAAAAGTAGATTTCGATTAACTCAGTAGAAATTAAGAATGTATTGTTGGTAAAGGAAAATACTTTGAAGAAATCTTGCCATCACACAAAAGAACAACCAATTACATATCATAGTAGGTAAGCATCCTAAAACCTTCTCTGAGCTTTCAGGCATCTGTATTTTCTTTGTTGCTCTTTCTTCCTTCTGGAGTGGTAAAATTAAACTCGGCTTCTATTTCTCTGAATGTATTTCTTAATGTGCAATGATTATTCTTTGTACCTTTCCAATAGGTATCTGACAGTCTTTTACTGTATGAAAAATAGTCTTGCACTCTGCTGAGAGTAAAGAGAGCCAGGTTTCCTGCCTACAAGGAGTACTCTTGGAGAAGAGTACTCCTTCCCTAAGTAATATACTGGCAGACAGAATCCTGGGCAGATCCATCAGTATTCCAGTGCAGCCATTCTGCACTCCCATCTCTTACATGGGCTTCATTCTGCACTCACGTCTCTTACATGGGCAGGAAGACACTCAACTGTGTAACCTCCATCCTTGGAGATGCTCAGAAGCCACCTGGACAGGGTCCTGGGCAGCCTGCTGCTTGAGCAGGGGGCAGAGCTAGATGATCTCTAAAGGTCCCTTTGAGCCTCAACTGCTCTGTGATTCTGGGACTAGGAATGCTTAGCAAAGGCCAGCCACTTGGAGCTGTGTTTTAGAAGGACAGAATACCTCTGCATGCTGCTGCCTACCACAACATTAACAAACTTGAGACCTATAATAAGGATTAGAACTAAAAGAGTGAACAAGAGCTGCTTCAGAATGGCAAGAGTTAGTGTTCATATCAGATACTCTACACCTGGATTAAGCAGCATGAGAGAAGAGATGACATTGCAAGTGTCATCAAGCAGTCTTTCTATATCTTCCTGGTTTGATGGTGAAAAGCACTAGCAGTCTGTGATAGTTAATCCCCTCCTGGCTGTCCTCTGCCCTGTGTACTAGGAACTAAAATTCTCTAAAAGTCTTCCTTGTTCAGAATACTTCTGCCTAGACTTCATATAATTTCTTTTTTATGTAATTTCTGTTCCCTCCTATCTAAGGTCTGACCCTAGCAGCAGTGATCAAATATATTAAGCAATTGTCTTGTTTCTTTTATGTGCTTTTAGTCTATGAATAGATGTGTCTGGCTATTAGTCTGTTACATTATTTATAGCAAGAAATCTTAGGACATGAAGGAGCATTCAGAATATGTAATTTTCCCCAAATTATTGTAATCTATTCCCCTTTCCCCTATGTCTCTAGAAGATACAGCAAACAAGGGCATTTGGATGTGGAGTAAGTTAAGTCCTAAGCAAACAGTAGATGTCATAGTGTGCACCCTGTACAACCCTGGTGAATTCTACTGTCAGATTTCAAATGATAGTGGTAAGTTTCTCCAGCCCTTATCTTAAGTTACTCTGCTTCCTAATTCCTCGTTTATTAACCTAGTTCCAATGCTTTGCTCTTTCAAGTGAGTTTAGAGTATTAGGGCTTACCTCTGAATTTGTACATTTAAGCATAAAGAGTGCAAGTGAAATGCTGAAGAAATTGGATTATGATATGTAGTGATATTAGAATGAATTCTCAGTGGAGGCAAGCAGTTGAGTAAACTTTCCTCTACATGGTTGCACTGAATTTTAAAGAGCTAACGTTTGTTAAGGAAGGGATCACTAAACAGAAGGTAGTAAGAGAGAAAGAAATAATCCTGTTCACATGCAGAACTACTGGAGTTCTGTTATTGTGTTCTGTTCTAATGCCAAAACTTAAAAAGTTGCACTGACAAAGTGGAAAGAGTCAGAAAAGAGAAATGTGAAGGTAAAAAGATACGTTTTCGAGACTTCCTTTTCTTCTGGATAAGCTCCAAATATCTTGTTTCTCCCTTTACAGACAGACTTTTGATAATCACTGGGTTTTTTTTTAACCTGGTAGAAAAAGCATGATAAAATTAAATGTCTGAGAATTAAAATGGAATACACTTAAACTAGAAATAGAGGCAGATCTTAAAAAGCAGAGGAAATCTACTACCTGATTATTCCAAGGTAGTGTGGATTCTGAATGTCTTACCACTTTAAAGCCTGCCTGCCTACCTAAGAGAGGTTTAATTCATTCTAAAGAGTTTGATGCAAAGGAGCAGTGTGGGATCCTGTGGTTTGTCATAGGTTGGTTGAACTGGCTAATCTCCCTAAATCCTTAAGATTATGGATTTAAAGGTGTGTATTGCATTAATGGGAAGAACTACTTGCTATAGTACTTATCAAGAAAGGTCAGCTTTCTCATGTCATAATAATGAATGTTCCTAATAAATTAACTATTTAACTGAGTACTTCAGATATTTTTAAAATACTAAATTTATGAAATCTTCCCAAGTCGCATATAAGTGAGCTATAAGGCAATCATTATTAAGTTTTATTCAGCTTGCTGTATTGATCTTGTCTTTGTTTTTATTTTGGTTTTCAGAGTTACTTGCTCTAAACTCACTTAACAAATCATTGTCTGAATACTGTCAAAAAACTCCACCAAGTGTTTTTAAACCTAAGAATGGAGAACCTTGCTGTGCTTTTTTTCCTGGTATGTAAGAAACGAGAATATTTTAACTTGCATAGGGTGAAATTTGAAAATAAGTAGAAGGTAGTCTGTTACATAGAGGATAACAAGGAGTTGGATTTATTCTCTAACAAAAAAAAAGTTACTGGTAAAATTAATTTAATGAGGGAGTGTTTTTTGTTTTTGACTTTCTTCAATCAGCTGATGGTAACTGGTACCGTGCTTTGGTGCAAAACGTTACTTCAGATGGAGCTGTTAAAGTCTGCTTTGTGGACTATGGAAATGTAGAGGAAGTACCACTGGACAAAATTCGTCAGATTTCATCCTCATTCCTAAAACTCCCATTTCAAGGAATTAAATGCTGGCTTTCAGGTGCATTTTACAGCTTCTTTCATTATAAAAAGTTTCACTTAAAGACTGAAGGGAGCACGAGGGATCAGTATAGCTTATGCAGCTCTGTTGTACATTATATATCTAACATATTGCTTCCAGACTCGGGAAATCCTGGGAACCGTTGTTTTAACCTCTTTGCACAGCAGATTGGCATTTAACAGACATTTGCTCCTCTTGGAGCTCCAGAATGTGCTGTGGAGTGATCTAGTATGGAAGTTATTCAGTGATTTACCAGTCAAAGGGAATTTATAGTTCAGTGCTGCTTCATCTATGGTGCTTACTGGCTTTTGGTTGCTAAGAGTAAATGGTTGTATTTTGCTCTTGTGTAACTGGGCGATTTTCACAAAATTCTTGCAGTCAAGGGAGCTTCTATGTCTTCATGAATCAAGCTGATCTTTCAGCTTTCTATAGGGCTGTCTTATTTGATTCTTGCAGAGTCTGGTCCTTCACTGCTATTTTTCCATCTTCTCCATATTCTGCTGCTCTTCCTTTTGAATACTAGATCACTCAGTCCTACAGAATGCTGTTGAATGTTTTTAAAGCAGTCCTCTAGGTTTAAAAAAAATAAAATAAAATAAAAAAAACACATAGAAACAAAAAAAAAAATCAATCTCCTTTAGAGCATATCCTGCTTTTCTTGACTTTCAGGACAAATTGGAGGAGGGGAAAAAGGCAATATGCAAATTTACTTTATAAACAGTGTTTATAGTGTTGGTTGTGCTTAAACACAAGCATTGATTTAGTAGAATAGCATAAAATGTAGGGGAGAAAAAGCCTTTAATATCTTGAGAAAGTCTTTTAAGTTAGAGGAAAAGAGGAGGGGAGACAGGTTGTCAAATGTGAAACAAGGTAGTGAAAGTTTTGATATAGAATAGTGCTTTAAAAAAAGTGCATAATGTTGGGGAAAGTTGTGTAATGGAGGTATTCTAAACTCTTCTACTTCCTAAGTATGAAGCCTATCAACCTAGGCCTAGGTTAAAGCCTAGGAATATCTAATAACATATAATAATGTATATTCTAAGCCCATTTCCTATTCCTAGGTATAAAGCCTGTTAACAGCAAATGGGTCCCTGAAGCTACAGCAAGGTTTCACATGTATGCGGCAGCCTCAAAGCTTCAAGCCAGAGTAGTTTCCTTTTCCAGCGACGGGGCAGGCGTAGAGCTCATCGACAATTCCACGGGTTGTCCAAAAGTGATCAATGAGATGTTAACCTGTGAACAGTTGGCTGTAAAGGAAGTTTTACGAGAGAAAAACAAGTGTCCAAATAAATTGGTTGACAAAAAAGGTAATTAAAACAAGTGTTAATTTTTAGGTTGAACAGGAATTTTTAACGGTCCAACCTTTAACCATGGTTTTGGTCTTAACTAAAATCAGTAGCAAACATGCCTAACTGAGTCTATAATGAGCTTTACAGTTAAGCATAAGCTGCCCAGCAGATGGCATTATAGGCAAAACAAAAGTGAAAAATTACTGGGTTGGCTTTAAATGATTGCTCTTTGAATATGTGACAGTGGAGAGAGATAAATTTGCTATAAGACTGAAACTACTTCTGTGTTTACTTATGAATATCTTTATTTTTTTCTGAAGTCTTTTTCACATAAATTATTACCATGTTAAAAACTAGCTAGTGAAAATAAAATTCAGCAAGAATATCTTTCTTTAGCTTTCTTTTATTGTAGTAAAGGCATGCAGATGCTTGTAAAATTCAAAATAAGATTCTGTAGTAGGGACCTCTAACCTGTATATGTTTAATGAAAGTGTTACACTGCATTTTGTTGGTCTTCTAACTTTATTAGAAAGGTCCCCTGGGCAGTGGAAGTCGGTAGAATTGGCTATTGGTGAAACCCTCTCCGTCTGTGTAACAGAAGTCTTGAGCCCAGACTTGTTCTATGTTGTACCAGTTCAAACCAGAGGTAAGAAGCAGAGTCTTCTGTTCTTAATATCAGTAAAAAGTCTTAGCTACTATCTGGTTAACCAGATGAAAGCCTGCTGTGAAAGCCTGAATCACATGTAGATGTGGCTTGGAAAGTAGGAAAATATAGAAAATGCAGAAGAATGAAGGGTTTGATGGGGGGAGGGGTGCTTTGAAACAGGTTAAGAGTTGACATAATGATGCTATTCATTATACCCAAACTTGATTGCTCATCAAACACTTGGTCCCAGTAGATCAAGACACACCACATACGCAGTTGGCTGACCTGGAAGAGTACTGCAGATCTTGTAACAAGCAGCCCTTTAACCCCAAAGTGGGCGAAGTCTGTTGTGCAAAGTTTTCAGGTGAGGGAATTGCTCACTTTTCTATTTTCTTGACTAGTATATTTTTTTTCTTCCTTTTACAAAAAGGAAAAAATCCAATTTTCAAGTGCTTAAATCTCTTATACTGTCACAAAGTATAGCCCTGTTGTCTTTAGGGCAAATAAGTTATGTGACTGTGTAGGAGAGAAAATAGAGTATGTTGTATGTTGCAAAATGTGTGACCCTTTTAGGGGGGAATAGCTGGTAACTGTAAAACCTGAAGTTTTAGTGACTCTGAGTCACAGGATTGTTAAACCCGTGACAGTGCATAGTGCATCTGCATGGGCACAGAAACACTTGCGGCTTGCAGATAGGCTTGTGGGGTGGCAGTGCCCTGGCAGGCAGAAGTGTTCTGAGCTATAAGATAACTTAAATTGGAGCCCTGAACCTTAAGAACAGAGTAACAGAGTATAGCCTGCTGATATGTTAGGTCACTATTTAAGAAAAATACATATACATATATATGTATATCTGTACACACGTTGTGTTGACTAAGAAGTGCTGAGCAGGTTGGAAAGCAGTAAATGCTGTAAAATACATCAGGTGAATTGTAGATGAAATAACAGCTCATAGCATGTGTATGTACTTAAGAGCAAGAGCTGTTGATCACCTGGCTTATTTGGCTCTTTAGAATAATGGGAGAATAAATACTTTTAAAAATCTTATGTATTGAAAGGAATTAAGTATGGGGAAACAAAGGTAGTGAACTGTAAATAATGTGTGTAGGATTTTTTACTGTAACATTTGTTAAAAGGTCTATCTGTATAATTTGGGCAAAAATCTAAAAGCAATGGTTAAATCTTAAATATTACAATTGGAAATTATTCCCTGTTCTGTGGGTATTCTATATTTTGTTTCTCAGGTTGCTTTATGTATATACAGCAGTACTTAAAAAGTTACCAAACTTGGAATATGCCTGGAAAAATATGCACCTGAACATAGATTCTTGTTCTCAGAATAATTTGTATTTGTAAAAGTGTTTCACATAAGACTTTTTTGGTTTCATCTTTTCAGGTGATGGCCGTTGGTACAGAGCTCTTGTCCTAAAAGTTTCTCAGTCCTTAGTGAGAGTGCTGTATGCAGACTATGGGAATACAGAAACTTTACCACTTTCAAGCATGTTGCCAATCCCTGAATCCTACTTGAAGCTGCCTTTTAGGATAATTAAGTGTTCACTTGCAGGTAGAAAATGTGATGGGTTGTTTTCTTGGTTATTACATATATCTATATCTGTTCTGATTATAGTATCCATTCCTTTATAGACAAATAAGGTGATCTGCTATAACAGTGTGGTGGTTAGTACTGTGAAAGCTGTTTTTAAAAAAGAATGCTTTTAGGTAATGATCTGAAAAAATGTGCAGGGAAAAAGAAAAAAATGTAAGCTGTTAACTATTAGTATAAAGGTTAGCCTTTGTGTTTTCAAAAGTGTAATGGCATTATGTGCAAGATTGAAGTGATGCTGTAAAGAAACTGTTTATATCACAAGCAAGTTTATTGTATTTTTTCCCCCTCCTCCCCACAGGAATAAAGCAAGCTGAGTGGCCTCCATTATTACTAGATATGTTAAAAGAAATGTTATTGAATAAACATGTCACAATTACGGTGAAAGGGATTAGTGGGAATGTTCATCTGGTAACAGTGGAGAAACTCTCTGAAAATGGTAGTCTGAATGTAGCTGACAAACTAGTAAGGGAAGGCTTGGTCGAGTACTGCAGTACTGAGAACCTGCCTGCTCTCCATCAAGGTACTTATTTTCCCTGTCTGAATGTAAAGCTTAAGAAATGTGTGCATGTGGCATGCCTAAAGGACTCTTCTGAGGGGAAGCAGTGGTCAAACATGTTTTGCTCATTTATTTGCTTTGTTTTTGTAGGCTGTGGGAGTGAGACGAAGTGCTGCTGCGCAGAATTGAGTGTGCAAGTAAGACTCGGACCAAATGATGTTAATGAAATTTTATTTCTCCAGAATTCAAATGCAACCCAGAGTAGGAAGGGAAGGAGACTACACTACAGACACTACAAAATACTAGAGCAGTGTTTTGCTGGAGCTGCAATTTGGCAGACAGCTGCACATTTAAGAAAATTCTGTCTGTGTATTTTGGGTAGCACTAGCAGTGAATAATAATACATGTGGTGTTTTGGTCATGGAGCTAAGACTGGGAATCTGCAAATTCAACATAAACATGGAGACTTGTGTAACAGCAGCTCCTTTGCGGGGAAAAAAATGTCACTTATGGAAATGTTACCTTTCTCTAATTTTTGGTTTTATTTTTGTTTTTAAATCTTATTTTTAATGTTAACCCATGGTACTTACAAAATACTGATCTGAAGTTCTTTCCAGTTTGATCATCCAGTTCTCTGGGGTTTGGGGTTTGATCCATCTAATCTTTTGTCTGACTTCACTTTGAGGGTGGTGGTGGTGGTGGTTTTTTCCCTCAATTTTTCCTTTTTTCCCTATTCTGATAAGATTGGCTCAAACTCACATGACGAATGAAGTGAGTGGTTTCCAGATAGAACTAAAATTCCAAGAAATAGCCAGGTTGGGCAAAGAAAACTGGATAACAGGATATCTTTACAAGTCTGTTATCTCATTACTGGTTTGAATATTTTATCAATTCCTGTTCAAGACTGTTCACTTCAACAACAACAACAACAACAACCAACAAAAAAGCTATACCTTATCTACAGAGTGTGTGTTTTAGCACAGGAAGGAGCTCTATTTACATTGAACTAGTAAAGGACTTGACTGAGGTTTTTAGTTTTGGTATCTATCCTAATTTGAAATTGGCAGTTAAAAATAACACGCAGACTTTTTACATATGTACATGTTAAATATATATGTTTCAAATAAAGAAAATATTCATGCTAATTCTTTGTCCTTATTTCACAGCTTAAGAAGCATGAACGGATTCTACTCTTTCTTTTAAACAAATATGGGAATTGTGATGGATTCAGTGAAATGAAAAAACTGTTGGATTAAGTCTCTGACATGTGCAATTTCATTCGTATTTATAAAATTCATTTTTTGGAAGAGCAATTGTCATCAGCTTTAAAAGGAGAGAGTTTTGCTTTAAGGAATTTTTCTGTTAAATATCCACCTGTATGGACTATTATTGTGAAATAATACTTAACCTTGAAAGGTTTCAAAGCTGCAAGTCAAATTTTCTCTTTTTTGTCAGTTTATAAACACAGTGTAGTATCAATTTGACTTATTTAGCTGTTGAATGTACATAACCTGCAATGCAGTGACATTCCTTAAAGTAATCATCTTGCTAATATTTGAATTTCAAACAATTATAATCATAAGGCTTACTTCAGCTTTGATGCCCTTCATTTTACTTAAAAAATGATGTCATCCTATGTTTAGCCATCTTTCAACTTAGCTTCCTGTCTGAGGTTAGTAGGCTCAAAATCATTATTTTAAGCTTGGTTTCAGTATTGTTTAAGGTTGAATCTTGACTTGGACTGTGTATAGATAGTTCTTTCTCTCCCTATAATCATTAAACACTTAGATGCATGCAATTCTTTATTTACAATTATGCTGTTTAATTTGCAGCTGTGAATATTGTTTCAAAATGAGTTCTAACAGATGTCTTGATTTTTGGCTGTGTTACAGGAAGGTCTATGTTTAAGTCTGGTACTCTGCCGGTTTTCTTTCATGACATAATAAAAAGCTCATATTCTGGGGTATGACAAAAATACTGGCAGTCCATTAATAAACTTCCTTGGATGAGTATCTTCTCTGCAGCCTACTTAAGAGGCAGGAATAATGGCCAGATACTAAAGCCAGTGGCCATAATACTAGTGGATTCTAAATCACTGCTTGTATACTGTAAGCAAAGATGTTAACGTAGTTCCAATTTGTGCAAAACCCTCTTGCAATTAAACCTGTTTTGAAAGTGAAGTGTTTTTGTTTGTCTTAATGTTTTATGTGCCTTGCCTCTCCTAGCAACTACTCTCCAGCAGTCAGGCATGCTGCCTCATATGATGACCTCCCAAGTAGTCACTTTGACCTTGGAAAAGTAGGAAAAAGGGCTTGATCTTGTGCAGTTATGGCTGCTTGTACATTTGAGAGAGGCTTGGCCTCCTGGAGCCTTGCTCTCTGCTTTAAAGCTTCGCCTAAAGGAGCTGGATGTTTTTTTTCCCCCCTGGGGGTGTCGTTGCTGGTTCAGAGGCGCCCCGGGAGCATGGCTGGGCGCCGCGGCCTTGCCGCACTGCTTGGTCTTCCCCACGGTGGCAGAGCGGGTGCAGAAGCTTGGCACCTCCTGGGCCCTACCAGGTTCCTCTGGGCCTGGTGAGACCCATGTTACCCCATAAACAGAAATGCAAGGTGATACTTACAAGGTTCTTCAGATTAAATATTGCAGTAATCTCTTAAATTTACCTGCTAAGACAGGAGATGAAAATACAGGAGAATTACAGTCATTTTTTGGAAAAAAAAATATTTTATTGCAGGTTTGTAGTAGCTGTGCAGCAACAATCCTATCATGCAAGACTGACACAGACCATCCTGCAGCACCAGTGCGTTTAATTTGAATTGCTCTGCATTGCTTTCTGCTTGGGCTGCTCTTGCAGGTTTTTCTTGCTGGGGTGTCTGTGCCCTGCTTTGCTGGGACGGGACCAGTGCAGGAAAGCTAAGGGCTTGAGCACAACCTGCCCTGGGATGAAGTGAGACCTTTGGCCGAGAAAACTGCCTTTAAACGCCGTTTTTTTTAAGGGAGAGAAAAGAGCATTAACAGTTTCACACGGGAACTTTCCCAACACCTGCCTGCACTCAGCAGAGAGCGGCAGAGCCGCTGGAGCCGCTGCCCGCAGCACGGCCCAGGCAGCTGCAGGGCGGCAGGAGGGAGGTAGGTGCCCCCGACGCTGCTGCGGAGGGGCCCGCGGCTGCGGCAGGGCTGGGGCTGGGTAAGGGGTGGTGGAACGCGCTAAAAAGGCCGCTCTCCGGCCCCGTGTCTTCCCGCACAGTCTGCTCGGCTGCGTCGGGCAGATGTGGGTCAGGATGCAGCCGGATCCCGCCAGTGGGACAGGAGGTGCTGGGGCAGTGCTTTTGCAAGAGGGACCTGTGGTGCTTTTGCCCCTTAGATCAAATGTGTATGAACTCACCATGTGAGACATCCAGCAAAGAGATGATTACATGCATATATTGAATTCTTTTCTTTTTTCTTCAGATTTGTCACCATGACCTTCTTGCCATCATTTGAGTCCATCTGCATGTTTCTACTTTCCGAAGGTATGTTCAACACTGCTTTTTTGCATTCGTGTCGCTCTATCTCAGGCACTTCCAATGTCTCCATCTGGAATTCTTTGACCCAAGGTAGAAGAGCTGAATGTCTTTCCAGGAGGTTTAAATATGAATCTCTGAAACCTAGTTTCACACAGAAGTTGAGAAAATACTATCTCAAGAAACAGCTTTTCTGAGAATTCAGGCACATTTGGCTGATTTACATATGGAAAAAGTATTTTATATGGGTAACTTTGATAATTTATGCAGTATGCTTTCCTTCCAGTTAAATAGTTTTTTGTGCCCTATGCTTATGACTATAATGTTCAGAATCTAAGTCTGTCCTAGCTCTTGTTCTCCTCCTGACCTGCAGTGAGCAGAGGGACCGACCATTCTTTGCATTCGGTTGAGTCCTTGACTATTTCCAAGGCCTCATGCTCTCTGGTCTTCCCTTAGATACACTGCTGTGCTGCATCACTAATGATTCTTGGTGAGTGTAAACACGCCAGCAAAAGAGCATTTTTCGTGCTTTTGATTAAAACCTGTGTACCTATTTTGTTTTTAAGGCAGCTCCTAAGGTTCATGGATGATTTATCTGTTTGATCCCACAGTTTTGCTGGTATTGAGTATACAAGAAATTCATGCTGACCAGGAGAAGATTGTCAAGATCTCAACTGCTGGTCAGTGTAAGTTTATTTTAATAAAGCAAGCTCAGCATGTAGGAAGTGAAAAAATATGGAACATCTTCCATCCATTGAAGGAGTCAGAGAAAGTGCTGGTGAAGGGGCCTTGCTCTGTGGGATGGTGGAGCTGACTTACAAAGGACAGTGCTCCATGGCGACTGCTACAAAACCTAGAGATCCAGAAAGGAATGCTTTCAATCTTAATGTCCCTTGT